ATATATATATGGCTTACTATGTCGTTAAACTAACCGTATGAGTATTATGCTCCAGAATGCATATAGGACCCATGGGTTTACAGTAACACTATGGAGGTCTGTGTATTTTTAGGGATTAGATTTAGTTATTTGGTTATGAACGCTGGATAAGCGTCACACATTTGTACTCCCCGAGGATTTTTACTTAAAATACTTAATTTATATTGCAAAATAAAAAATGTCGCTTGGTGTTTGTAAGTTTTTTTTGTTCATTTTACTTTTGTTGATATTTATTGATGCTTTTGGAAAAATGTGGTTTCGTCCGTTGGAGCGGCAGACAGTCAACTTATTATAAGGCTCACCGGTCAGTTTTTTCTGTAACTTGAATATTTATATTTTTTTAATAGTATTAATAATTCGATACTTCTCAGTATTTAACATTATTTTTAGGATAGGCTTTCTACAACAAATACTTCTATTTTTTCACTTAAGAATCAAATAAGCAACGCATGTACAGAGTGCAGACTCTTGAATTTTATTTCGCCTCTTAGGTATCTTGGAGGTGCGACATCTGCTACTTGTGCCATTTGCTAATTCTTCTGAATAAATATTGATCAGAATTAAAGGAGGGCAATATAGGCTATGACTAAGGCATTGTGGTCTGAGTAATTGACAAACATCTCGAAATGTCTATTCATGGTATCGTAACCGTGCGGTCATAATTCGCTTGAGGGTCAACATTAACAAATAGTCATTATGGCATACTGCGGCTTGCTCAACATAAGCTCACATAAATCCAGCAAGGCCTAACAACCGACAAAAAGAAATGTGACATATAATATTTTATATTGAAACTGATCGTAAGTCTGGACTTCGTAATGAAGAGCAGTGAAAGACTAAAGTAGGCTTAGTAGTTATCCTGTAACCTTTTCCTACACAACTCTATCGTAATACCTAATGTTTCAGCATCGGGTGATTCATTGTACTCGAAACAATTAAAGGTCAGCTCTTTCTACGAAGATATGGGATGCCTGATCGTTGGCAATAGCAGACATTCCGCATGAACTGTTACAAAAATCTGAGGTTCCTTTCAAGGTACGAGATCCGTTTAGGATGAAACTAGAAAAAAATCAAAACGAAAATTCAATTTTTTAAACCCCATGAAGATGAATACCTCAATCGAACTCCAACTAAGGAGAGTTTCATCGGTCTGTCACAAACAGACAGGAATCAAGATCGCAAAGGGTCATAAACAGTGGCTAAAGTAGAGGATTTGGAGACGAAACAGTAGGCTTCGATTCTGACTTTAGGAAGGATGTTTTAAGCCTAAATTAGTTTTTTCTTTATTATCAGCGTCCCAATTGGTGAAAAATGCTTTATCTTTATCAAAGTACGATAAGCTTCATCGCAAGTGATTTCTATGCACAACAGACTGGCTATAGTCGTACGTGAAGCAATTTATATAGACTTTTTATCATTGAAATGTAAATATTAAACGCATATGTTTGCTCTACGTTTATACGATATTAATGAAACTTCTATTTTCATTACCGTTTTTGCAGTTAATATGGTGGTGGAACTATGAAGCATTGAACTGTAATTACAGACTTCACTACATTGGCCGTATGATGTCAACGACACACTTCGTGCCGGTAGTAAGTGATTTGAGGTTCATTACTGCCTATTTAATAACACAGTTTACTAGAGCGCGCATTTATAAAATATCCATATGGGAATAGAACTACTGATGGTACTATTCGTCACTTAGTTGTGGCTAAATTAATTCAAACAGTTAATTTAAGTGTGTGGCGAACTGTTTTGTGCAATGCCCGGTCAACGAATCGAAAACCGTGGTCTGGGTCAAAGTTCTTATCGTTGATTCTACGTATCTTGTAAGCACAGCTCATCACTTAAACTTTACTACAATGTAGGATCAAACTTCCATATTCTAGTTAACCGTCATGGCAGAGATCCAAGACACGCTTTAACTTCAACCAGCCGCACGCCAAAGACCGCGAGCCAATCATTAGCACCACGTGCGATACCGGTTATTATACTGCAAATATTACGCGATCGCACATTGCGTCGAAAAATAGCTACGTTTCGCAGCGAGTATATATGTGATGAGAGTATCATAGCCTATGAATGAATGTTTCGAATTTTAGGTTCTGTACCGCCTTGAACAGGCATTGCTTCAAACGGCTGGCTCCAACCAGCACAAGGCGAAACGCATCTATGCCCGACTTCAAATCTAAACCACTTCACGAGTATCTAGCCTTCCTAGGCAAATCATTACCACTGCAACATCACGGGAACCACGAACGAGATTCAAATCAACGTATTTAGAATGTCCTGCCAGTGGAGTGTTACTTCGCGACAGAGTCCGCGTTTTCGGTCAAAGCCAAGGTACTGTACTTAGCGCGCGCGAACGGCCGCCGGCGCATGCGCCGTACCCTCAGATGAGTACACACCACTGGCAGTTCGTACTGATTTCCATGCATGATGCGTCTACCAACGTATAAGCATCATCTACTATATATATATACTATGTCTATATCATGTGCTGGCATGATTAGCCTACCACTATTTCTCTACGCAGGCAAAACACCCAGCTACAGAGAACTCTCCGTCCTCGGCGGAGTTCTGCAGCCGCTGCTGCTCACTGGTCGTGGGGGAACACATTTCGGGTTGAGAGAAGCCCGCCTGCTTGTTGCCGGGCCGGGCGTTTGCTTCGGCGGACACCTCCTCAGTGCCGTTGGAGCGATCATACTGAGCGTACGGAACAGTTGTACATTGTATAGACAATCGTTGCTCTAGTAATACTACATTAGTTCGACATACACAGCGTGTGACGGAGCTCCGAGACCAGGCCACAGTGGCGCGCAGACTGCGATGCTGGGTGAGTACAGAGAGCTATTCGTTCAATGGCAGAGGTGTCAGTGATCATCGTGTTTGCTGCTGGTAGTGGTGCCGCCGCTACGCCCGCTATCTAGATAGTATTCGATTGAGCTTAATGAGACTAAATTAAATTCATTTAGCCTTGTTAATTCCTATTAGAGATGGCCACCTTATTAGAGACACTTTAGTCTACTTATCGTACTTAACACGCTAAATAGCAGCAGCAACCGCAACAACACCACGTAACGTGTTCCGAAAAGTAGCAGATCAGAAACACTCACGCATACGGTGTATATTCGCAACGCAGGCAAGCTCGTATCCTTAAAGCAAAACGCATCGCACTGCATAATACCCCCACCCCCCACCCCACCCCACCCCCCGTTATAACGTTCCGTATTCCGACCATATCAGCAGCACCCTCAGTATCTTGGGGTATTATTTACTTAATATTTTCATCGGCTGCCATGACAATGATGATGATGATGATGATGGGGAACGCTCTAACAAGAGACACCTATTACTACACGTTTACCAGGTCACCAGATACGTCATAATTAAATCGTTGTACTGCGGCACATAAAAACAGGACTCGTGTTCCCACATATGTGAATGGACTATTGTGTTTTTATGGGGCAGTGTTCCATTATTCATAACATTGCCTGATTTTATTCCTTTTTGACTAGTTCCCTTTACCTAGATTTATTCTAGCATACTGTTGGGCGTCGTCACTATTGGAGACTTACTATCAAGCCACCGGACAACTCGTTTCTTGAAGCCTATGGACGTGTGTAACGGACTGTGCTATTGTTGAATTGTGATGAATATATGTGGTAACGGTCTCATATACCTATCATCGTCTTTATTACTGGCCTTAAGAACGTTTTTCAAAGCATAGGATAGAGGTTATCTTTAGATTTTTGTCTTTGCTGTGCTTCCTTGCCTATGGTTTTGAGTGCGTTATCCCATCTGTATTGCAAGTTTCTTTCACAAGGACCTGCTAAATGGTGAAGGCACCCTGAAAATATATTTCCTTGCTGTCACATAGCTATTACATGTATAACACATAATGACTGTTTCTTTATCATCAGTGAAGTGCGACTCACCACGTTCCGATTTATTAGCAGTGCGCCTAAGAGAAAGGTCTATACGGATAGGTTTAATTACTATAATCGATTGACATCTGGTAGGACTACTAGGCTCTAAGATGTTTTACAAATCGACATATTCGTACTCGGCATCCGTGTTCACCGATAGCGTAAACGTGTGTAATACGCTATCTATAAAAATTTATATAGGTATGATATACACGGCGGTGTGCGCTCGCTGGTTTATTGCCACGCTAGTTTAGAAATTATTTGAGCGAAATCTTTCAAAAACCTATGTTACGTAGCAGCCTCTTTGAAAAAGATTCTCAGATAGCTCAATAATTAAAAGACGGCATCTAAGGGCGGCGGCATTTCTTAGCAGCTACTTATTATCCTCTTTCTCAATATTAATTGTCCTAGTAAAAAAAAAAAAAAAAAGGCGATAGGTTAATGCAACTCTTCTTTTTTAGTTCCTTTGCGGTGATCCTGACATGTCTAACATAAGCATGTGAAGTTGAATGAAGTATATTTTTTTTATCGATATTCAGGTAAAAGCCAGGACAATATTTTTCTGATGCACGCATCCATTAAACGAGGAAGGGAAGCCCTGGTACGATCTAATGTCTGTCTATTTCCGAGGGGTTGACATCACTAGCATTGGGGCCTACAGACTGTTCCCTCCGACGTTTAGCGGGCGATGGGCGGCGCTTATAAGTCCCGCCTTCTGCAGAGCGGGGCGTGTATAGACCATTTGGCCCCCTCGATGAGGTCTTGAGACACCCGTGATGAGAAAAATATTTGCTACCTACAACCTCATTGACGAAAAAACAAAATGGCTATCTTCTTTCTTCCTTCCTTGTTCCCCAATTCCCCCCTCCAACTTGCAAATCTGGCAAGAATTTTAATAAAGACCTACTTATAGCACACAGCAGTACGTTTAATTCGTACGGTTTGTAAATAATAATAATAATAATAATATAATACCTTATATTAATTATACATTCAGGTCGAAAAGCATTGGCAATGTCCGACCGCCTCTTGCCCATTTCCGATGAAATCATCTCATCGGTCCTGTGACAGCTTTTCCGTCTCTATTTAGCTTGACAGATTGAATTTGAAGCTTGTACTTTGTAAATATATCCTAATATGCGTCTTCATGCTCATATATCTGGCTTGAGGTGTCAATTCTTTTCCGTTATCTTCTGATGATACGAAGAAGGTTTATATTATTTGTTTTGCTAAATTCGCTCGGGGATTCGAATGGATGACGCGAATGTGGACGGCAAGTTTGAGAAATAGTAGACAGTTATTAATAATAAATAACGTTATGAAATGTTATGTATCTCTCTGATGGATTAATTTTCTAGTAATTAGTTGTTCAGTATAGGCTAGCCCATGTCGATATGGTGGCCCTTGTTAGCATACAGAAAGAGTTTGAGTCACCGCGTTCCAGATCAACGTTTTGCAAAGTCAGTCGTATCTAAGGCTGCCAGCGTAAACATTGTATTAGCCTAGATAGGCTTTCCCAGCTAAATTGCCTTTATCAAGAATAATGACTTGGTCCACTTCGTAAAGTAAACTTACAATTAACTTACAAGCCATTACGGAAAGCGTGAGGCCTTGCTTAAGGCCGCTTCTGCGCGCAACCGTCTGCCTCAATGCTTATTAGACTTTTTGAGTGACGTACCAGTGCTCATGATAGTGCGATGTGACAGCAAAAGTCAAGGATACGCGGTTCGAGTCCGAAAGTGGACACGTTTCGTTTTGTTCTGCTATTGTGATATTGTGCTACATTAGCACTAAATGACGTCTAAACGGTCTAAGTGAAGCAGATAAAGTATTCTCAGTGTTGCATTTGGCCATCTAACAGTTCGAACCGCGGTACCAACAAAGAGCTTACAAGTTACTTACGCCTTTTGCCCTGCAGATCCCGCACAATAGTTAACCGGAATTGTCAAGTGTGAGCTAAAGATGATCGCATCTCTATACGATGTACGCTTGTGGATTTCAAAAATGAATCGGTACAACTCACACGCAGATCGTCCAGGCCAATCTAAAAATCAGTGCGTCTATTCTCACTTCGTGTTTATGCGTTATTGTATCTGCTTAGTTCTTAACAGACTGCGGTGTAGTTTAGTACGTATGTATCATTGAATTTACTGGCTGTTTACCCAGCAGAAATCAATACTGTCCTAAAATAAAATGTGGAACTAATTTCATTATATATTGAATCGTTCGACAAAGATTGCGGTACAACAAGTTTTAACTTGCAAACTTTTTTTTTACTAGCATAGTTCTTTCATTGTCAATCATAGTGCGAACCATACGACGAATCTATAACCTTCTGCAATTTAGATAATACCGTTATTTAGTCCGCTGCCATACAAGTCTGATGTTTCAAAACGCACTGCTGACCTCACGTTGAGATCTAGGACAATATTTCTGCGCGAAATTTGAAAAAAAACGATGGGAGCAATCTTTGTTGAATATGATGCACGAGAAGTAACATTTAAAGTGTAATTTCTACATTTTTGACGCCATGGGACTAATTTTCGAATTAAGAATTTCCTCGCTGTATTTCTAAATTAATGGCTTACGGTGCGTTCGGCAACAGATCCTTCATCGCGTACAAGATTTTAACGAGCGAATTGTCCTCGCTCCCGTAGCTATACTGCAGCAGTTCAGCCCAAAAATCTTGGCTCTCTCTCGATGTACACACGCTTTGTAAATGCGCAGTGAGGATCTCTGGTTACAGCTACTATGTTTCCATTTTACTGAATTTTGGCCATATCTTTGCTAGGCTTTTGTAACGCTCTCAAATCAACAATCCTACGTTTGATCATAGTGGTTCCTCTTCGAAAATATTTTCAATACGTACGCGTTCTGCATTCACGAGATAACTGACTGTTTCCGAGTCAGGTGTCCAGAGATTTTGGCTGTAGCAAAGAAAAATAGGCTGCGAGGTATACGGCTCGCAGAGGATTACTGGCCTGAATACTGCGCGGAACATCGAACTCTACCTGCCCTTGCTTTGTTTGTTCACTTCCAACTTCCTACACCAAGTTGTACAACATATCACGCATGATGTCCTTAGATTTTGGGGCCTTTTGTATTCTAACGATTTTAGCATTGTTAATATTTTTTTTATTTTTAATAGCAAAAAACGGCAGAGAACAGAAACATTCAACCACCCAAAACCTTTAATGAGGACAGCGTTTAACCCGTTACCTCAATATACGTAATTGCTACACAGATTAAATTCAACACGAGTCGAGATATTATGTTATCTATGTTAATATTAGTGTTTAAGCAAACTTGTTTTTGTCGTAGAACCTGAACTCTTGGCTACCATAGTAATACGAGTCTCCGCTGACAAAGATGCCAAAAAGAATGGAATCGTGGATCGTGGCGGTTATTAAAATAGGCGAGTGTTAATAAATGAAACATGCGACAAAAACAAAGACGTTTGTGCAGTGAGACCTGTGGTGAATATCCCATTCGATCGGTTTTTGATGCTAAAACATAATCAACAATTCGGCACAATTTACTGTTATGGCATCACGGATTATAGCATGTGCACCTATAGTGCACTATTCCGTCCTTAACTAGCCTTAAACAAACGCTAGTCACAGCATATCGTAATGGGTTTCGCCGAAACCCTGGATGGTGGACTCTCTAGCGAAATTTACTCAGGCGTTCTCTACACTTGTCACGTTCAACCGATGGCCACATGTTAATTCGACGCTCTCTCTTTTATGCTATCGAACTCGTAAGCGATCTCCCTCATAACATGTCGCTTATGAGTTCTGCGCGCGATAGGTTAAATCAGAGAAACGTAACAGATCTGATTCGTTTATCTGTAAATACATCATGCCGTTATCAATCTCAAAATGCATCACTGGTCTTCTTAAGACTGCACGTCACTCGAAATGTACCGTTCTACCGGATCATTAGATACTGAGCCACTCCTATTGGGTCATCGTTTCAATGCTGAAACATGTTTACACGTATACACATTTCGAAACAAAAAAAAAAATGTATAACCCTGGTAATATGATTTAGTTTAAGTCGCGCTCCGTCTCTGAATTACTGCGTTCTCGTCATGACGAGAAGCCTTGACGAAACGGGTCGTTTGCAGAACATGGTGATTCGATGTAAATCGCATTTGTCCACAGTCCACCTCTGCGAACGCCGTGAACGAGAGCACTTCGGCTGTTGTGTCTATCTTTTACGTCAGATTGGTGACCATGCCACGCAGGCTTTGTCGCTGGTGTCTGGATAAAGTTTCGACTGAAACGACACCATGCGGCTCCTTAGTGGGATGAAAGACATTGATTAATTAACTGTATTTGCTATGAATTCCGTCAATTGCGTACAATGCATGTGTTACTTGTGGATACAGGAAACCAAAATCACTCTCGAGACCCACGTATAAACAGTTACTGAAAAACAAAACCAAGCTACACTTCATATACGTTTTGATGCACCGCTACGATCCTCACATCGCTCCGGATAGGGGGCCTAATTTACGAAGGACACTATGCGCCTAAACATGGTTCCGCGCGAGCACGAAGAGATGTTGTTCTTCAAGACACTTACCTTTGAAGAAGCTGAAAACGAGTACGATGAAATTTTTGTGAGGGATACTGGAATTTCTAATCGAATTGAAAATGCCCACAATTGTACTTTCGACAGTGTATATCCGAAGAGAACGGACGAATGTTTAGATACAGCGGGCGTGACAGACGACATCATCAGTGGGCAAGTAGATCACCGTCGATCGAACAGCCTGACGATACTCGACGTGTTAAGCTCTCCTGTTGTCCTTTTGGATGACAATATCAATGACGAAGTAAACTGTCTACGTAAAGTTAACGACGCTGATCAAAATGATAGCAATACCATTCATGTTGAAGGTGTGAAAGAAGTAGATTCGGTCTATGGCAAGGGCCAAAGATATGGAACATCACAAATGTTCGAACAATTTGAGCGTAAAAGTTTGCCGCATGAACTGATTGCAAGCTCAGTACCATCTGAGCAAGCAAAATTTCACGATGTACCTTGTATGGACCAGTTAAGCCTAGCTATACTAAATGCGATTGGATGTTATCCGGACGAATTAGACGATGAACTAACTCCATCAGTCGAAGATGGAGACATTAGAGAAGGTCTAGTTCTTTTTGTTCTGCTGAATCAGTAACGTTTCTTTTTTATAAAGCACCTATCTTAATAAAAATTTAACATCGGTTTCAGTTTAACGGGGGATGACTCTACTTCTCTAAATGCATTTGTGGCCCGCACCACAGGATGTGTTTCATCTATAAGTTCGCGTAAAAAATATATCGATAAGTTTATGCCAGGGCCATACTTAAATGGCGAAATTACGCATATATTTACAACACGCTGATTTGCACTCCTCGCAATATCAGTATATCTGTCGAGATGTCTTCGTATCTATCATCCATTGTTTAATGGTTCATGGGCACCTTTTATTTACTGGCTTTCATCAGTACGTCAAGACGTAGGAAAGTTTTTTAGGAACTGAAAATGGCCAGAAATATAGTTGTCTTTTTCCTATTAGTTATCAGTGCTTCCCGTTAACTAAGTATCTGCATATTCATGTATGATAAACTTGTTCTGTTGGCAGATCCACAATCAGGTCAAGAATACGTATCTACAGGGGTCGAAGGATGCAGCGGGGGACCCGAAACCCTCGAGGACATCAAATATCACGATTCGTCCACCGACAAATACCATTCTGTTCAGGTAAATTGATCTAAATAAAATCGTTCGAGATGTATGCGTACCCATGCAGTCGTGGATAGCGAGCACCCCTTGCTGGGTTACCGATATTCTTCAACTAAAACACTGTTGTTAGCTTCCTCATTGTCCATGTCAAGCTGATCTCTAGTTGTTGGAGTCTCTGATCATTATGACCTGTAATTTATTTGCTGATGCGATATTTCTTGAGTTCACAGGTCATGTTCAGTTTGCCACCTATAGAATGCGGAACAGACCCCTCAAATTATTTACACCTGCAGGAAGCTCCGGCCCCGATGAGTCCCCTGCATACGCAGGTGTGTCTGAATAGATATTCTCACGTTTTCCATTCACTTTACTCTGCTGTTTGAATATAGTGTCCTGACCTATGAAGGCCACATGTGGATCTTTGTGATTTCGTCTAGGCTTGTGAAATATGGTCAAGGGGTGCAACAGATAGAATGTAGTACAATTATGTCTTATGACTACTGCAGGCTCAAACTCGGGCATAACAATATTGCTTTTACGGGGTACTAAAGAGCGATATAATTCAATTCAAATACGGAATAGCATATCCGGGTAAATATAATTAATGCGTCCTACTGTAACATCCTTTTAACACGGTAATTAGCATTCACTAAGTAATTATCGTGTGCTCTTCGTTATATAGTGTCTTGGCCCAAACTCTGCTTTTACTTACTGACCCTCTATCAGGTAACCGTACATCATTTGATAAAAAAAGAAGACTCAGCTCCAACTACTCAGACCAGCGGTGTAGGAAATCCGACCGCTGGTCCTATGGTAAAAAAAGAAAAACACTCAGCTCACAGCGCGGCCCAAAATAATAATAATAATACTAACACCAGCAACAACGAAGTCAAAAAGAAGAAGACCAGGTAAATAATAAGATGACCACCTATAATGTTCTTGTTAAGGGCTGAAACTAAAATAAAAAATTCGAAACGGTGATATTTCAGATTACCTTATCTATTCTATTTGTTTTGTCATAGCTTCGCGGGAGGTTCCTTAAAAATGTCTGGGGTACTCCCGAATAACGAAACTTGCCGCTCATTGAGGCTTTAATTAGCATTTGACGGCTATTGTTTCGTCTCAGAAATGAAAAGTAGCAGAAAACTTTATAACCGATGCGCTGCGATTCATTTAAAAACAAAATAATTATTAAATTACTGTCACAAACTAGTAGCTTTCGCATTCTAGTATTAGGTAGTCCATGCCTCTAGCAGCTGTCAAGAAGCAAAATTATAAAAAAAAATGTATTTTAATACCTAGTGATAGCAGAAAAAACCTTGGATTAAATAGCAAGTTCGCTATAGTGTAGAGTTTAGAACAAAGTAATGTGTAACTGAAAGTTAATTTTCTCATAGCTTTTTCGCCCCGAACAACTTACCAATCTAATCTTCATTCACTTGTCCGTTGCGCGTTTAGGACAACATTTACGTCCTTCCAACTTGAGGAGCTCGAGCGCGCGTTTCAAAGAGCGCCGTATCCGGATGTTTTCGCTAGAGAAGACCTTGCCCTAAGGTATGCCCAATTATTCATTATTTAAATTCTGTTAAAATTAAAAACATACATCCTTTTTACTGGTACGTATCCCCTATGCGACGACGACGAACGCTGTAGTGGGGTAATCAATTGCGATTGTTGCTTCCGGCTTAAATCTTTCGTTCGCCAAATACGCCTTATTGTGACGAAATGCAGGAGAGAAGCATAGCCCTGGTTTGACCATTTCAGCGCGTAAAAACGGCTCTCTATTTGCCAAGTTAGCGTTAAGTTAGATTAGATGCATCCGGTAGATATTGGGTACACGACAACGTCTTGTGAATTGTGCTTTCGTCGCCAATCCGTCAAATGGATCGAATGTATTTAGAGCAGTTAAATAGTCTATTTGTCAACGATGTCAACTTACCTCGTTGCCTTTGTTTTATGATCGGTCGTTATACGATAACATTGGTTGTTTTTGCCTTTGGATTTTCAGATTAAATTTGAGTGAGTCGCGGGTGCAAGTCTGGTTTCAAAACCGGCGAGCAAAGTGGCGTAAAAGAGAACCCCCCCGAAAAAATAATTTTCTCCAAATGACTACAGGTTGGTTTCGTTGTACCTTGTATTAAACAGTCTAATTTATAGGCAGGCATTCCGTATAAAACATTAATTCTATGTTTATAACCTGTACCGATTTCAAAACCCAAATGCATTTGCAAATTCTCACAACAAATCACTTCATCTTAGTCAACTTAAAACTTTGTCAAGTTCATATGCGAACATTTCCATGAAAACTTGCACTCGATGCTATAATCAAATTTTCATTGTAAGCCTGCTCTTCCTTCTCCCAGAACGCAATAGAGCTTTAGATGTTTTTTTTTTTTTACCTTATTCATTTGTTCCTTACTTCCGCTTGAATTGTTATTTCTGATAATCCGAATAAAAATGCTTTGAAAAAAATGAATTATTTTTGCTCCAAGGCGAGGTTCACACCCGTGCCTAGGTTTGTGAAGTAAAAGCGACTTTAACATGAAATAAGGCTGAGTTAGCGTAATAAATATGTAGCCGAATTAGGTTTCACGATATGCCCTTATTCGCGCTGTCTTTCATTCAGAAGCGGGACAGAGGGAAGGAACAGGAGGGTCAGACAGCGACCAAAAACGCCATTACGCTCGTTGGGTCACGGTTGCATTAGGGATACAAAAAATGTACAATCTTGAGCTCGTTTATTTTAATCGAATCCTCATCGCAGCATTGAAAACCCCTGTTCGTTACGTTGAAGAATATTATATACTACTTGATTACGAAAAATATTTTTGAACATACCATCTTCCGATGTTCACAATGAGGACAAACTGCTGCCAAAACAGGACCGCATTCTAGCTATTATTAACGCGTTCCCTCTCTAAGTAAACATGTCGTCAGAATTATTAATAAACAATGGTTTCACAGTGCAGAAGTTCGTATCTCAGCCTTCCCACGTAGGTTCGGTGTAAGTAAGTAGTGGATACGTGTGGACCACCGTGACAGTTTTCAATGAACTCTAACCCAGATTCGCAGAGGCGGTTTGTATTTCGTCATTTTTTTTTAAACCCGCGATCTTTCGAGCTAGGTCAACTAACTAACCACACAAATATGGACCAAATTGATATTTTTCAACGTTAATTGTAGCGCCTAGCTACCGTTGCAAATTCTCGTATTGATACTATTTCCAACGTTCTGTTGGTGGAAACAAACCAAACGACTTTTTTTTTCATATTCTGACTAACAAAAACTATTAAATTACAAATACGTTATTAACAAAGTGTATCCTAACTTCGTCTGTAATCATCACCAATTATGAACGAATGGTGTTGCCGATACGTTTCAAGTAGAATACTGAAAGTAAATCACTGGCATCCTCTGATTTCAGGCGTTTCTCGACTGCAGGTAGCGTGTGCCCTACCGCCGGCTCCTTCACCGCTGGCGTCTTGTACTTCATTGGCACCTCTGTCGACGCTAACGACGCCATCCCCAGCATCTCCTCCAACGAATGCGACTTCAGTAACGGCACAGCAACCCTCAACAGCGCGTATCCCATTTAACGTATAATAATATAATAACATACGTACTTAAATACCTAGTAAACAAAATAACACTGACAAATAAGGCTTTTTGAGTCTGTTTTGCTGTAGTAGAACCGGTCTGAACTTATTAGCATAGGCAAAATTATTGTTCCTTTAACTGCCCCATAATAATTGAATATTGCAGGCGTTTTAAATTAGATGCTTCAGGCGTCATAACGTCAGTGGATTAGTTCGTTGAGCGTGTAAATTAGAAGGGTATAGAGGCAAGCCCCAAGTTGCAAGGAGCAATTTCGAACGAACAAAAGTGTTTTCCTGAATTTTATAGAACTTATCGTTATTTGCAGGTGGCGCCTCCAACGTCGAGTTGTGGCTCAGTGTCACCTTCACATGGGAATCATGGTGTGAGCTCCGATCAACAGAATTTGTACCAGTCGGCGACTGCAGCGTCTCCATGTGGTCTTTGTGGACCCTCCCTTCCAGCATTTTCGTCAGCGAATTCGTTCCACGACACAGCATCGTGGACTCATTTTGGGCAACACTCGTTTAGCCCGCCAATGAGCTCGATGGCACCGATGACTTCAATGGCCTCAATATCGCCAATGGCCTCCATGACTCCGCATACGGCGAGTGCTTATGATTACGATATCTATCAGCAGCAGACACAGACGATGCCACATCTGCAGTATCAAGTAAGCACTGCGGTTTTAGATAATCGTAGTGTAAAAATTAATGTATTATAGACAGAGCACGCATACTTTGCATACACATAGTTACACATAGACACTCGATTGAAATCTTTTGAAGCGATACTCTAAATTCTAACGAGAAAAAAAATGAGTTGACGGCTAGCCGATTCTGTTATCTTTTCGTCTGTTATTTTCATGCACTATAGGACGATCTCACGCTTTCGGCAGCCATATCCCCTCACGATGGGTCGGGATGTATGTCTCCCTTGTCGGCTTCGCTTTCGCCTTTAGGACAATGGGGAGGCCAAGCACTCCAGGAGGGCCCCCTAGCTCAGCTGGCACCTCTGTCGTCGTGCATGGGTGGTCCTTCGCTTTCCATATCGATGAGTCCGCCGCTACATGGTCTCCATCATCAGCCGCAGCAGCAACAACAAGGTCATCCCTCCTCGCCAGCACCCCTCTTCGACATAAGAAACCCCTCTGATGTTTCGGGAGCCCAACAACCACAACAACAACAACAGCAGCAGCAGCAGCAGCAGCAACAACAACAACAACGACAACAACAACATGGTGGCCATTCAAGCTCGCAAACTCCTCAATCACAAGGCGCTCCAGGCAGTCAATCCGCAACACATAGCGGCCCCGGGGGGGGCGGCCAGCACACAGCCGTATCCTCGAACTCGACTAACCCTTTATCGTCACTTTCGCCGCTTGATGTGTTCAATTAGTTTTCTAGTACAGAAACAACAAAAAGTGCAGTAATTGTGAGACAGTTGTAATGACGGTTATGGCACGGGAGTTATGGTTTGCCGATGTCAGCTTGTTTGAAAGGAAATATCTAAAAGTTGAAAATGCCTCAAGTGAAGACTGGACAGAGATTATAAGAACCTTTGAATGTTATGGTTAGATCCTCCTAGCTGGTCACGCTTTGGGAAGCGGAAGCGTCGCTTTAAGAAAACAAAAGATATTCTGTGCCTTGGTGCCCTAGCGACAAATGCATTTTTGGTGAATACCGGTGTGTCTTAACGTATTTTTCGCCCTTTTTAGATACAAGATGATACCATTTTTACGTCTAGCGCGTCTAGAACACGTCTAGCGCTCATACACACACGCGCCAATAAGGATTTAAAGGGCGACGACAGCTTATACGTGTATTTAGAGTAACAGAAGTTTCGATGGTTAGATTGGCAGAAGGACATTGATCAAGTGGCTTCAAGTGAACAGGAGACCGAGCCAAGATCTTTGAACGTAGAATTAAGTTAGATCTGGGTTAGTAGAGAAACGGTTTAAAATGCATGCTGGTATGTCTCAGTCGGCTAACAGTTATCGCTAAAGCCTGTACGTTCAACGGATAACAGTACCTCCAATACTCGGAATAATGTACAAAATGATACGTATGATTATGATGATTAACTCTGATGATAAAGCTTTTTTTTTTTTTCGATATATATTGATAATTACACCAACAACACAAAAGGCAATATACAATAGTTATCTTATTCAAGGTCAATTAGGTAAACAGTGAAACAATTCTAGATAGGACATATCATATTGAATTCATACTGTGAAGCAGTAGAAAACGAACAAGCGCTTCTCTACCGAGAGAATTTTGACAATACGATAAATTAATATCTGATTTTCGGCGTCCTGAACGTGTCCGAAAAGGCTATTTTTTGCACATGTTTGGATAGAATTAACCATAGGCTAACTATATATATAGTTAAAATGAATGTCTACCCCATTGCACCTACTAATCATATCTTGAAAGCCGACATAACGATAGTAAAACGTTCTTCTATGATCGCCCGTAGACATGCGGATTGTGTCACGCTAGCTTGAAGAGTTTCGAGCTTATGGGCAACAAGAATTTTTGATCGACTGCTTAATATGAAGCTCAAGCTAATCAGCTGAAGAACAGCGACCTCCTACTTCTTCCTGTGTATGATATTAGAGCAACAAAAAAAAACTTATTGATGTTCCATAAATAAGCTGCACTACTGCTGTCAAGTAGATGGAGACTTTTTTTTTCATTCTAGATGTTTAATGGAATTTAGTAAGGGAAGATGAGAAATCAGTGAAGTTTTGTTTGACAAAAATTTGCTCGTAAATTAAAAAAGTTCTATACATAAAAATCCCCGCTCTTATATGTATGTATAAGGTAATAGGATACTAAAGATGTGACTAAACTGTACATAGTGTTAGGCTAACCGGCAGACAATTAGCACAGTGACGCCCAGTGTGAACACACGTAAAATAGCCTCCGGAGGGCAATTGTGAATAATACGGTGAAAATCTCCAGAAACGCTTATTAAATTAATTGACCTAAGTTGACTTACTCAATGTGACCTTTGACGTTGCCTTTTTGCCGCACACCCTTTACGTGCCTGGCCGCCACCTAATGTCTTGCTAACTATGCTCTGAGAGATTATTTAAACATTTTTGATCAGGTGAACGTTTTGGATCATAGAGAGTGAAAAACGGTAGGTAAATTCATTGCAGTTCATACCAGTAAGCACATTTTTGAAGGACACTGTTATAGGTGCTAGGCCGCCTTTACGCATAAGCGAGACTAATACGGTAAACTATGCTTTCCAGGGAATAATTGCGGTTTTACAATTTTTCGCATTCTGCGCCAAAGTAATAAGGCTAAACAGGTATGCCTTTGTAATTCTTAACTTTTTTTTTACGGTATTCATAAACGGTCCAGTCGGCGCAGAACAAATCCTGCACAGTGTCCTCTTTGTACAGCTAAATCTTTTGTGAGGTATACCTTCATGGACGAGTATAGTTTTGACAAAAAATAGCATTAACCGTTGACGTGCAAGATAGATACAGGAATTAAAAACTTATTCCAGTTCAATCCATGCTCGTTGCTTGAATCGTAGAAGAAGCAATTTTTCATAAACGACAAAGAAATTACAAAGTAAACAAATAATCTGTATTAAAAAAAAAAATTTTCTCCTACGTTCTTACGTCTCTTACCCAATACAAGCTATGAGATGACTAAGAAAAAATAACGGCAAGAAATGCTTATATAGAGCAGTAGAAAAAGTATCTTTGTCATGTAATTTTGCGTTCTTCATTACGCTTGGTTTATATATATATATATATATATATATATAGGAAGATCCATTTGGATTCAACAGTTGCGACTATTATATATATATATATATATATATATATATATATAGAGAGACCTTGACAAACTCTTATGTACAATCACTGTTACCAAGCAAACATAATATATATATATCTTCCTAAGAAACTGTTTGATTTGGCGGAACGTTTTCCTCAAGCATTGCTGCTGAAAATACCTACTCGTCATCGGCCGACTGTCAGCCTAAAATGTTTCATAGGTTCCGACTCTGAAGTCCCTTTGGCCGTTGCTACAAAGACCATGAGATGCGCCCGCTCAGCCTCGCAGCTGCGTAACGTCCACATGTACTCTTTCGCTCGCATCGCGCTTTTTTTTCCATATAGGACATCTCAGAGCAATGTACACGATCTGATGTTTCGGGTTATTGCCCTAATTCTCGTGTGTTCGTTCGTATCAATTCAAACTTAGGTGGGTCTCGTATTGTTCGAGGCGTCTACGACGTTAAATGTCAGATCTTCAGACGTTGACAGATTTATAACCTGCACACGAATTCTTCACCTTGAATGAGTAAGAAGGATTTGAGTGAACGTTTTCTGTCCGAATTCGCACACAGGACTTCTGCAAAACTGCTTAATGATAGAGTGCTCAAAGATACCATCCTCGTTACCGCCCCAGCAAGAAACTAATGATGTGATGATAAATGGGGGAATTTTGCTTAGCCACTTTATCTAATATTACAGAGTGTAAGGAAAGGCCCTATTGTTTGAAACAGTGGCTGCAATAGAACTGACGGCTGGCACACGTTTTAACTGAGAAAGGATCAAGGCTGCTCAAGTTTAATTGAAATAGGTGGCTTTCGCGCGTATTTTCATTTGGTGTGGTACGTCGAGTGTGATACTAAATGGTGTTCATATGGACGAGACGTATCTAGCTGGATATACAAAAGGGTATTTAATAGATTATTATAATTAATAATCGAGCACTCAGAGGTTGATATAGGAGCTTTTCCGCTAAACTCAGAAATTCGAGAAAGATAGAATCTTAAGAAATGCACGCTGTTATCGTAGATGGTACCGTCGGTGCTACATTGTACCGTAAGTAACTGTGATTCGGAAGTGTTGCTCAACTTAATTACATGGGCAAAGCTGATGTATAAAACGCGACATCAACAAGGATATCCAACATTTCATGTTCGATAATCTAAACAACTAAAAATATGACGTTTATGTTATGGTAGAGATGATATGACGTGACATCAAGTCAGCAGCTGAGTTTAGATGGCCTGAATCGGTGGGTTGGACCCATACGTACCTAAGCACGTTCGCCCGTCTTCATATACATACGAGTTAATACACCTACTTCGAGCAGCGATAGGTGACATCAATTTGTCGAATAAATCAGATTTCATTATCAACATTTGACGTCAGATACATTCTTTAGCTGTCCAACTGTAGGACGTCTAGCTTGACAGGCTTTGCGCAAAAACCCGGCAGGACAGAATTATGCCTAATGAACAAAAGGTTGTGGCGTAGCGTCCCTGAAGTAAACTGTGCACCCATTGAATTTCTCCTTCAATAACTCTAATAAACTAATATAATAATAATAATAATAATAATAGATGTGTACTAGCGGGTCACAGTGTCATGTTAGAACGGAACATAAATGATCTAGATTTGTCACGTAATAATGTTCAACAGAATGATTGTTTTTTTTTATAAATGGCCAATAGGCTAGGCATAAAGGTGTTTGAATAGCTATTACACTAACGATTTTGTGTGCAGTTGTGTAAAGACCTAAGGCTCGGACCCAAATCCCAAATTAGTTGAAACCTTTGTAGAAGATAGCGCGAACAATTCTTGGAGGATGCTGCGTACCTATACTACGCTGTACGATATCGCCGTACGCGCTAATCCCCGAAAAAACTGTTCATGTGAAACAAAGGTTTCCAGTTCGTGATAAACCGGCATCCCCTGGTGATTCCGTGCATCGTTTGCATCTGTGATTCGGATGGACATTCAACTGAAATTTATACGTGCATGATGAATGGACGACTTCATGCGTATGCCTATTTTAATCAACTGCTTGATTTTCTCGAGTATCACATGCATGTTAGTATCGCTTCGCTTAACATCGCACATTGTACGCGCTGTACGGAGCACATGTACACATGATTATATGTATACTGACTGAAATTTGCTTTATCGCGCGTCTGACGTCTTTGGGATAGCAATACCCGATAAACTCTCAGATTAGTTGAACCATGCTACACCAAGTCTCCCTGTTAGAACTGATTGCAGTCTAAAGCGGTACAATACCCCATATATCCCTAGAGAAAGCACATGAAGGTGCTAGAAAAACATCGCAGCACTAGCCGCGCCCCCGACTTTAATGAGCTTATACATGTACGGCCATAGCTTATAGACGTATAAAGTCACAGATAACATGCATGCACGCAGACCAAGCTTGAATACGAGCAAATGCTCAGATATTCGTTTTGAAGGGTCAGAATGGTTTTAGCAGTCGAACTATATCAGTTGAGCTACAGCCTTTCACAAGGCTTTCGTCGCGTCCACTGACGACGGGGTCTTTTTTAGGGGGTCTGATCAGCCGATTTGCGGAGTTGGCAAAGGGTGGCAATGCGACCATGTTATGTTTTTCAGCAGTTCGTAGCGTGCACGATGGTTAGCTCCGATAGCGGCTGTGCCGCTACTGATGCTGCCTCCACGCTTGCTGATGCTGTTATCACTGCTGTTGATAGCAGTTAATTTCAGCGTAATACAGTAAACATGTTGGATGTAAATACGTCCGCTGATGTGAATATAGAAATCGAACGAAACGATATCTGGATCAGCTTTCACTGTTGTCTGTTTGGAAAGAACTATGACAACCCTACCGCTACCTGCGATACTGGTGGAGAGTCGTGTCTTTTCGATGACGCGTGTAGAAATGTTGTAGAAGAGATATTAGCAACAAAAAGCGCAACGCTTTATGGTCGTACCAACAGAATTCTATCATCGACATTGCTATTGCACAGGTCCTGTCACGTCGACCGTTACCCGGCATCAACATTGTTCGCAAAAGATAGGCCAAAAAACAGCAAAAAAGTAATAGTAATAATAATAAAAAATCGAAAAGGTGGACTGGTTTGTCCCAGAGACAAATCTGTTTGCAGTTTGTTACAGTCGGCATCCGCTGGGATGATGTATTGATGAATGTTGCAGTAGTAATGATAGCACCAGCTGTAGAAATGGGCATGTGGTAAAGTATTGTCATTGCTCTTGTTTAGATAGTTTTCGCAGACAACCTGTAACTTGGCGTTACCGAAAATCGGTTTATTCTTGCCGTTATATGGAGGACTTACGTTAGATATTGGACTTCGATAGCGGTTCGCGAGTATTACAAAATGCAGAGCTCGATTAAAATGGAACGGATTGATTTCGGTTAGTAAATGGTGATAACGAAGTTCATTTGTATGGTAAAAACGAAGCGAGGGCTTGAACTACTACGTAGTTGATCTGATCCAGAAGTGTTTTGAGCGTCTCTTTAAGTATGAGCGAGATCCTTAAATACAATGTCAGTTGCTTTGCAGATACTCATTAGTACCTGTCGATACTGTCCGATGTAAACGGCAGCAGACTATTGATATGTCACATGGTGTCTAGGTCTCCGGCACCGGGGAAGACAGAAGCCGCAGTTCAGACGTACGACACGATTTATCGAGGGAAACACTGGTAGCAATATTTCCGATTGGTAATCGACTGAAAGTCTGATTTCTACTACCAAACAGTCCTTCCGATCCTCCGCAAAGCTATGCCCTCTGCTAATTTCGGCATAAATTCGTTTCTTTCGTTGATACGGTAGTCGCTCGGTTAAACCGGCTCAGGCCGACACACTCCTGGAGAATTCCGGCTCATCTTATATATATATACATACATAACGAATCGGGACCGTACTAAGCCAAGACATAGATTCACCTGTCGTTAGCACGAGCTATCTTAGACATCGTTAGACGCTGTTAATTTACTTGTAGAATCTAGGCTTTTTTGACCTTTCTCCTTTTTTTTATTACAATCACTATTAACCCACATTTTCTCAATGCGTACCGTAAACATTTCTCTATAGAATCCGATGCTATTTTAAAGGCCCTGATAGATAACTGCTGACCAACAGAAAAGTTATACATTATTTAAGGACGTGAATTTTTACTTCTGCATATAGTTTTTTAGATAATAGTTTGGAAATGCTGCACCGGTTTGCACCGGGGCAAACAAACGTAGATGCAGATGGCGAAAACAACTATGACCTGAAATTCACATTTCGAATCATTAGCGTTACGTTAAATCAATACAGAAAGAAGGTTTTTCATAGAGCGAAAAAAATTAGCAGTAACAGCGCGATTAAAACGACTCTATATTTTGTTCTTTCTGGGTCATAACATAAAAAGCGTCTTTTATCAAACGTAATATTTGTAGATTATATAATTTCATGACCCAAGACGACAGTGTAACAAAATCGAATTATAGACATGCCAAAACTTGCAAGCCTTTAGAGAACGGGTTTATAAGCGTTACGAGCTACTCCCGTCAAGCCTTCCAATCGACTAGCACTATTGTAGCAAACCTTTTTTTTGTCGCCTCTTCATGATGGCACTGCTCTACGGTTAAGCAAATAAGTTACATCGCTATAAGGAACATCGTTCGGTAATAGTGCAGACATTGTAGGCTTTAAGCGCTCACACAGGGAACCCTATTTTTAGTTAGAATCCCTGCAAAAGATCTCGGTACATTTATGAGCATGTCTGCTTGTTAAAATGGGGTCGATGTCGCTTATTTTTGAAACAATCGCACCGTAGAATAGCAGAAAGTACTCAGTGATACTTTTTGTTACAGAAGATTCAGCGGGAAAACTTTTTTCTACCTACATTAGGGCGTTTCTGTTTTCTGAAGGTTATTTAGCATGGAAATAGGGTCGCCTGTTTGGTTACGTTGAGAACTATCTCTGTTCACAAACTGGTTGTGAAATACAAGGCCAATGTTAAATTATTAAAATAAAACCGAAATTTGTATAGGTGATTTTTATTTATTATTTTTATTTATGATAAATGGGTCCACAGCCTATTAGCTGGCTGTGGACCCATTTATCTGGTGGCTTATTAACGAGATGTCTTAGTAACTACGACACAACAAAGCTACACCATTTGACTGAGTTAATGTACAAAAAAGGAGAACTGTCGAAATAAAGTACTGTTGGAATACTTCTAGAGGTGCCTTTCTAGAGGTGCCTAAACCTGAATCGACATCTGCGTAGCATCGTTTTCGCACGATCTTGCAGCTGAGCTTGCAAACGGATGAGGATCTTTGGCGGTTAGGATATCCCAAATCAATATATCTACAGTTTGCCTGCATATTATAGCGTGAATTTCTTTAGCGATATAATTTGCTCAATGCGGACATGTACCAATATAGAAAGGATCCCTTGATCACTTGTCTGGTGTAATGCTTGGCATTGAGAAGGACTTGTTATTAATAAAACGGCCTAAAAGGATTTGTGTTCTGTTTTTAGCAATATGATTCATTACTGGCTCTAATAATGGTTTAAACGATGTTCTTTACGGATAGTATTTTGTCTTAACCTTAACCAGTTCCTTAAACTGAGGTATATACATTTCGCACTTATCATAAAATCAAGAAAACGGTTATTGTACATTCAGCGTAGATTTATCCTGTCATTATTTTTGTTAAGTATCAATGACTCGTTCATTTTACAGTCAAATGAAAGCACTTAGGTAGTTATTACACAGTCATTTGTTTGGCATTTTATGTACCTTGGGGATTTCAAATATGGCAACATTTATATACAACGCAGTGATACACGTCTGTTACGTGACAGTTGAGGGCTTGTTGAGTTCTTTGGTAGCTATATGCATTGGCTGTACGCATTAGCACTGTAAATCGAACATATTTGGACCATTTGACCCTCGTTTAAGCCTTGCGCCAACCGTGGTGTCCGTGCTGTTCATGCACGTGGATGGGCACGGGCTTTTTAATGGGCACGGGGATCTCCTTGACAATAGGCACCTCGACCGGGTAAGGCTTCTTAACAGGCACAGGGTAAGGCTTGTGTACAGGTACGGTATAAGGCTGAGGAATCTTCACTTCAACAGGCACGCGGTAAGGCTTCTCGACAACGTAAGGCTTCGGAACGTGTACAACGTAAGGCTTGGGTACCTTAACAACGTGGTGGACTGGATAAGGCTTCTTTACCTCAACGGGTACGGGAACAGGCACCTCTTTGGGCACTGGAACTTCCTTGGGTACGCTGTAATACTGGTGAACAACATGCGGTACGGGATAGGGTTTTGGTACCGGCACTGGCTTATAGACAGGCACAGGTTTGTGAACAGGTACGATGTATGGCTGAGGTACTGGGTGTGGAACGGCCACAGGCTTCGGCACGCTCTTCACCACGACGTTAACCTTAGGAGCATGATGTTGCCCGTATCCACCATCAAGGCCGCTATAGCCACCAAGGCCAAGTCCGAGATCACCTCCGTATCCTCCGTAGTCTCCATAGCTACCGTATCCTCCGCTAAGGCCGCCGGCGGCAGCGAGAGCCGCTAAACCGGCACCAAGTGCCACTGCAAAGGCACGCATCGTCACTGTTTTTACTGTCGCGTATCCACTGAGAAGAACTGAGCCGTGATGGCGCGCTGCTGGTTTCTGGCTCACCAACTTCTTCGACAATCGTCACCAGAGCGACGCTGAGCTTTTGTAGTCCCGTCGTCCGGCAGTAGGCCTGCTTTAACCGAGAGCCACGCTAAGCCAAGGTTAATCGGGGAGGGTCACCCGTGTGAAGCCTGTCTGTCGTGAGGGGGCCGTACCAGTCACGCTAACTTGTAAGCAGTGATGGCGGCGGCAGAGGCAGGAGCTGCTCTGGCGCTAAGGCGGTCGCAACAGTAGCACGCCAAGCGACGAACCCAGAAACGCGCACCAATGAATGCACTGAGTCCGATCTGGTGTCCTGCGCGGACTCTCTTCGAAAATGCCCCCCTAGCAATAACTGTTGCGAAGAAAGTTCGATTGGGTTTAATAGAAGCTTTGAACAAAAATCAAGTTAAACTATACTACTTTGTCCTGCTGTGAATTGAAATACTGGATGTCTATTAAGTTTGGATAAATTGATCTGCCACTCTTTGTGAAGAAAATTTGTGATATTCTCTTTGTGATATTCGAATGCGGTCAATGAGATTAAATTAGTGATTTCTCCTTCTAACTCTTTCGATATAAATAGTAAAATATCGTATAGTCGAACCAATATAACGATTATTATATATGTACACATGTGGCGATAATTACGAGCAAGGTATTACCACGGACGTACAGTGTCGCCGTTTTAGTTATACGACACTGCACGTAGCTGAAGGAGCGTCTGCGTACCTCAGCGTTCAACATACACATACATATGGAACATACGAGATCAAACAACTTCCAAAGACAACAACAATTGCAATAATTACAAAGCAGAAATCAGCTCAGAACAACAGCCAACAACGCCAGCAGCAGCATCAAATGAGGCAGTTCTATCGCTATTGGAAACATCATCACCTGAAAACCCTCTGATATGATGCCTAGAATACAAACTGCCGATACCTGTCTGTCTAATGTTCTTTCGTAGCTGTTGTTTTATCTAATGGAAAACTATCTGAAGCTCGATGTAGTACGCACCTCGTTTGAGATTGAATCGAAACTATAATTGATAGCTAGCCGTATAGTGAGTGACAAATAGTACGCATGTCTACAACGTTTTGGATAATAATAGCGACAACGGTGGTCAACAGAAGATTTAGGTTTCTATACTAATTTACTAATTGAAGACGGATAGTCAAAAGGTCATATTAAACAAAAACGATTGTAAAAGCATTTTGGGCTTATTTTTTATGATAACGAATGCTGTTTTGCTTGGGCGAGTACCGTGTAAGCGTTGTTTATATATTGTTTCTTAGAAACATGTACTTCATTTCAGCAGCAGCGTAATTGATGTGGTGGTCCATTAAGCGAAGGCTGTAATATGTCTATTAGATTACGTGTGAAGTTAATCCTGCCATAAACACTCACGTGCTTTGTGAAATATCTGCCTGGCCCTACAAAGAGAGCGAAATAAAGTGGTCGTTGAGGTTTGTCGGCGATATTTTTGCCTTGATCACACGAGACGCTTTTTGACGTGCGTCTGAAATTCTGGCTTTTTGTAGATTTAATGGCCTAGACTATAGGTATTGTAGTAAATTATAAGCTATATCTCAAAGGGCTTGTTTATTGCGTGAGAAGCATTAGCATTGATTTTATATAATAGACAGACCAGAAAAATGGCGTCGCACTTAAGAACACTAAACTATATATATATATATATATATTTCCTCAGAAACCCCCCAATAACAATTTTTGTTGTTTTTATTTTTACCAAGGAAAACGCTTCATTAATCTATGTAATTAATATGCTTATCTTGTGATTTATAAACAAAAATTCCTAATTCAATTATTTTTATTTTTAGTTACAGCTGTGCGGCTAGTAGAAAGTTTTTTGTAATCATAAATTCTAGTTCCGAAACGTCTCAGTTTAAATACCTTCAAAACGGGCAAGTCGGGGATCATTTTTGTAAGCTTTAAAATGATTTAATGCCAACCGCAGCGTAGATCCGAGGACTGTGCTCGCTCATTTTTACTTGGTCAGGCTAAATGTTTCGAGTTTTAGGTTCCATACTGCCGTCACGCATTAGTATAAGAAATTGCTTCGAGACCAACAAGACATGCTACATTACTCGGGTATTTGTTTGGTTCTGCGGGACCCTTAGGCACTTGGTTCCTGGTTTCGTATCTTCAGGGTTTGATTGGGAACTGTTTCGAGTGTGATTTCAAATTTAAGATTGTAGAAACAGTTATTAGATCTGTGAATTAACTTGTCGTCCCCTGGTTCATCCTCTTAACAGGCACCCTGCTTAGTAAAACACGCTAAATCTCGCCCGGGATCTGCTCTGTCGCTTTTCCCACGTACCTTATTATGCAACGGCAACTCGTGTATGTTATGTTTGTCTAGCCTGTTAGGTCCCGCTACTTCGAGTCCGTTGCTTACACCAGGACGATCTGCTGATGACCTAAAAGGACGGGCATGGTAGAAGTCATCATTTGCGACACCTGCGTCTCAAATTTTTTTAGGAGATATGGGAGATCCGTTTAAAGAATGTCCTATCTTTTGGTGCTATCGCGTGTCCCATAAAACAAACAGTCGCTACCCCATAGTCCTCAAAGCTCAAAAACTTATTGTATTACACTAAAGCCTGAAGTGGAGGTGCATTGGTGAAGTACCATCTACACTGTTTATGTCTTAGAATCTGCGTAGGGCCTTGTGACGTGTCATCGTCTTTCATATTTTAGCTCCCCTACTCTCTGTTCTATAATGCTGTTGAAGAAATCCGAGCCTGTGGCCATTAACTTTTCTAACACCGTCATGCTATTTACGGCTTTTTTAGCCATCATCTAGGGTGGATTTCTACGATGCCTCAGATCTTATCGCGTCGTATTTGTTGTTGCGTGACAGAAGAGAGTGTGCTCAACCCCATATTTTTCTTAAGACACGTGAGTTTTCCGTCTGGGCGGTCAGAGTCAGAATGCGCGTGAGTGGCCCCTGATCGATACATATCGCGCCAGCTCTTCTTGTTACTTCCGCAGTGTAGTCTTTCGTGCTGTTTTGAGGTTCAATTCCTCCTTGAGGTCCATCTGTTTCTGTAGTTGTTTTTGGCCAAGGTAATCCTGACGGAATAACAGAATGCAACAAAATCACCAACCGTCGCGAATAAACGCGTTACGCTTTTTCATGGCCCTTCTACTTTCGGCATTAACCTCTCCCGCTGTATATTTTACATGTGTTTTTCCCTGAATACTGTGTTGAGGCCCACCCCGAGGTATTTAAGTTTCCTCTTGATTTCGATGAGGATCTCGCGCGAACAGAGACTTATGCCGTAGCGCCGTTTTCTAATGACAAAGTAAATGGTGATTTTTTTCTTTGAAGTAATCTCAAGGAGACGCTTTTTCATCCAGGTTTTCCAGGACATAATCGTACGCGAGATTCTATAAAGTGAGACTCTGTACCAACTCCTTGGGGTACAACTACCGAGATGTCTCATGTTCAATGCCCTGTTCATAAGGCACGAAAAGATCCTCATGGTGTTCGCTGTGTTTAAGACATTCCTCACGTTTAGAAAAGTCAGGTACATAAGCTCCGTCATCTTCCGCATTTTTTTTGTCTTTCGACGAAAGCGCTTTCCCTTGCGGCAAGAGAATACTTTCTTTAGCAAAAATCCTATTCAGTTTTAGCAGATACTTGTCTCTCTTCAATTTGTGTATGAACTTGCTAATGGTTACATTATGCATGACATTTGCTGAAGTGTTTAGAAGGCATATTGGACGACAGGCTTCTTCGATATGTCGTGAAACCGTTCATCTTTAATAATGAGGTGATATAGGAGGTCTCTGGATAGCACAAACCACCGTGTTGTTGTATTAACATCGTTACTGCCACAAGTGACACCCCATCCGGAGCCGGTGTCTTGTCTGATGTCACCTGCAGCCTTCCAAGGGACTCCCGGACTGTCTTTCGTATTCACCGTATTTAGTATTGCTTCTCTTGATGGTTTCCTGTGAAAGAGCTGCGTGATAACGTTCTCGGCCATATTTACCCGTGGGCTCGGAGCAGTCCATTCCAGTTGGTACATAACGTTTTGATAAGAGATGATTCAAACAAGTTAATTGTTTCCACTTTGCAACCTCCCTTCATTTGGTGAGATACAAAGCCTTCAATGAGCCTTTGTTTCTGTCTTTCATTGCACCATCTTCTCTCTCTTTCGCTGTCTCTTCCTCTCGTTGTAGCTGGATTTGTTCTACTCAATTGTAACGTCTTCTTCTTTCGGTGCGTCTTCGTCGACATCTACTACACTCGCTCTGAGCTTTGGTAATCTTGACACTTGATTAGTGAACTAAGCCTCGACATTTTGTCTGGAGTTATCTTAGTAACGCCGTTTCACACGCACTTATAAATAATCACTGAAACAGTTCCTTTATAATGGTTCCGTCAGTTTGTCTACATCATATGTAAATCTCATTTTGGGTTGGGAGCTCTCGTATCTTTTCTTGAATGGGAAAAGGTGTTGTTGGGCTCGTTGATCAGTGCATACTTCGTAGCTTAAATACATGTGATCATTCGAACAATCGTCATTCGGTAATCGTTCAGAAACATTTCTGCCCACGATTACCAGATCAATGAACGATTTCTAGTCATTCTGAGCGAAAGTGAAGACCCGGTCGTTACTTGTAACAACCAGATCGCCGCTCTGCAAACCATTTCTGTAGATCTCAGTAGATGAAATCTTCAGTTAAAATGAGCTTTTCCCATCTCCCTGCATTTCTATACCGCCAGGTCATAGACGCTGCACACCGCCGCCACACCGTCCGTATCCGTTCATATAAATCAGTTGCCTCTGATTGTCAGCCTTTTGTTGTATCCTGTGCCCCACACCGCCATATCAAACATGGCAATAGCCAATGAATTCTTTGGCTATTATCATATTTAGACCTTAAAGCAAGCTGAAGCCTCCCTAACCTTGGGGCTTGTTCATTCAGCATGTCATGGGTTTTTTTCATAGCGATCCAAATTGATGTAAGACCTTAGACATCCAATG